CTCTTCTGTTTTAACTCCATTATCTCTACTCAGCTTTGTTGACAGCAGGACATTTCTATAGTCTAGACGGGTCAGTGTCAGGAGAGAAAGGGTTAACATGGTGAAAAACCCAGCTGGCATCTACGTGTTGTCTGCTAGTAAAGAGGCTTCTCTATGACTGTGCAATGAATGCATCAGATTCAGGAACTGTGGATGAATCCTCTGGCACTGTGGAGGAAGCCTGCATAGTACATATACCCTTTTCCAACTCTGGCACACTATAGGCAAGACACTGGGCTCTGCCTCTAAGACGGTGCATGGTTGGGGAGCCATGCAACACACAGGCACAGAACAATGTGCAACTTCCGCACCGAGACCTTGCTCAAGGGATCAAGTTTGGGCAAAGACCGAAAGGGATGCAGCAGAGGCAACCGTACTGCATGTGTGTCTCAGCACTAACTGTGCATCTGAATACATCATAGGCTATATGACTAAAAATTGCCTACCTGCTACCTGCTGCTGCCTACAGGTGCAAAACTCTGCAACATTTGTCTCCAATGTTCTACAGCTGTCTGCGTTCTATAAACTGATATCTGCATGTAGATCTCCATGCAGACAATTAAGGAAAGAGCAAGCAAAGCATCTGTATAAATGAGGTTTCCATGTGCTGCTGAATGCCCAGGTATTTCAATTTTATATGTCGCATATAATGCATAAAATACTAACCCCCCCCCCTTTTTTTTTCAGCATGCTAACATTAAATAGAGAAATTAAAGCCAAGGCTTGCCTTGACATACATGACCAGTCTTTGTGAGCAGCAAAGCAGAAAACTTCACTCACCCATCCTCTGTCACCCTGCAATTCCTCCGTCCTTTCCTCAGAGACCGTCTCTGGAAAAATGTTTCTTTATTCTGCCCGTTAATTAGGAGGCAGCTATTCGTTCATGGTCCATACAGGTCTCTGTGTCAAACCATCCTGTTGTCAGACTCAGCACCCCCCCTCCCTTTGCTGTATGGATATAGGATAATTTTTTAATTGCAAAGTTTATCTCCTTGTTGTCTTCATAGGGTTTATTATACGGAACAGAGGGAAGAAGTCTCCTATGATGTAGAAGCAATTCAGAGCAGCGAAGAATTCCTGGGATTCATATGCAATGGGAAATGAATGATACAGCCAGCCAGGGAAGGTATACAACTTCTCTGTAAAATCTTCGCAATACCTAACAAGCCTTGCCCATCAATACCTTCCATCTTTAGACATCCATTGCCAGTCCCATCTCTTCCATGGTGCTGTCAGATGCCATGAGGCCAAAAAAATAAGGGGATGCCTGGAGCCCCAAGTTTAGGACAAGTGCCGTCCGGCTTTTTCTATATAGCTGTTGAGGTTTACACTGCTATGTAGCTGTGTGTTGGAAAGCAGCTGGGATTCAGGAGAATTTTTTTTTTTCCTCCTCTTTCCCAGAGACTGCTGATGCTCAAAAGCTTGAGCTTCAGCTACAGAGTGTCCCCTGCTGGAGAAAGGAGAGGAGGCAGGGAAAAGCCACATCCAAGTCAGCCTGTCATTGCAATGCAATGCAGGCTCTCTCGCTCTTTCACAAAACACAATTAACTCCATCGCCTCTGAGAGCCATTTGTGCATTTGATGAATGGATTATACGTCAGAGGTTCTAGGATCTCTGACCGATCTCAAAACATGGCCTTGTTGGTAGGGAGGTGCTCCAGACACGGTTTATCTTGTTAAAAATCTGTATAAATAATTCATGGGTGATAAATCCAAAGACGAACGAGGCTAGCACGCCGTAAAGCTACGCCAAATCATGATATCCTTCGAAGGTTACCATGACTGTGGTTGTTGTAAGAAATGTGTGTTTTGCTCTATTTGCATTCTTTTGGTACCCTGAGCATCCTATCGTAGACGTCCCGTGTTGTTAGAGCTTCTTTAGTCCCAGAAGAGCACTGCTAACCCAGTTCTTCAGGACTGCTGCATGGAGTCAGGGCTGCAGGTTGTTTCCTTGACTGTGACAAATAGAGCACCCTGGAGATAAATGTACTAGTTCCTCCCAGAAGGGGAAAATTCCATGTTGGCTTCCATGCACAATATTGACTTCCATCAGTACAGAACCAGCAATGCTTCTTTGAGAGTAGGGTTGCAGCTAACGATTATTTTCATAATCAATTAGTTGCCCAATTATTTTTTTGATTAATCTATCAGTTGCATTAAAAATCTATCTCTCTCCCTCCCCCCTCTCTCTCCCTCCCCCCTCTCTCTCCCTCC